CGCTAGTAGTAACAGGTGCCTTACTAGTAGTAACATGAAGCTAGTAGTAACGTGAAAAGCAGGATTAGTAGCCATTAGCTACTAGATAGCTTCTAGGTAGGACGCAGGATAGCTCACGCTTCTTCATGAAAATTTATGAAAAACATGTGTTGCATCACCAGGAAGTGGCTCACTCTGGCCTAATAGCGATGGCCTCCAACCTAGAAGCAATGACCTCCAACCTAATAACGATGGCCTCCAACCTACTAGCTATGGCCTCCAACCTAATAGTGTACCAATAACTAACTAATAACCTGTCAAAATGCTCGGAGAACACTGGAGTCCACAACAAAAAAAGGCACTGCCTCCCAGCTAAAGCCAAGCCAAGCAACAGTCGCCCCGAACCCGTAGCAGGAACTACACAACAAAACGACAACCGAGGGCAAAAGCTCTTCAATTTCGTGTTTCCGCTGCAATGCTACAAACGAAATCCTTCGGTGAGAAATGCAATATGTTCTTGTTTTTCAACTACATGAGCGCTCTGACAGAAGGACCTCGCACTGGCAAGAGTATTTTTTTCCGTGAGCTATCCTGCGTCCAGTAGGTAGTAACAGCTAGCCAATTACTGTAAGTAGCCCGTACTTAATTAAGTAGGCGTCTAATTGAGTAAGGGCGGGCAACGCGGGCTTCAAAAAATAGATAAGAAAAAAAACCTGGCGAAGTCCGGCGCAAACCTCGTCAATCCGCTGATGATTCTCAGGGGTGGAGAACTCTGCAAGCGTCTCAATACACCTTGTCTGGCTGCTGCTACTACTCGAAATGGACACCACTTCTGATGCCCCCGCCAGCAGAAAATTCAGACATGATGATGATGATGATGATGACGATGATGATGATAAGGGCCATGAGCGGTTCAATCCCCACTGCCCACGGTGCCGCAGGGACAGTGCGGAACCGTGTCCCTCCTCATGGGCAGCCCAAAGTTGATCCTCGCTGATTGACTTCCTCGGCAACCGGGACATTGCCCAACATCCTTCCAAGATTACATCTTCAGCTACTACATCCTGCTCTTCTTGACCGTGCTTGCCTTTATCTCTTGGATGCACTGGGAGAATTTCACCTACCTGATCCGCCCTACCGGAACCTGGCAACGATCACGGACAAGGAGACCACAAGCACCAGCGGGGACCTCATCTCCTGCTCACCAGGCTCCCAAGTCGCCGGACAGGGTTGGACAAGGCCTACTGGTTCGTTGCATTGCCGTACTTTGTGAACAGCCAGAGCACTTTGAATCCTTTGGCTCCACCCTGGAGGCCCGAGGCTTCTGGGTCTGCCACGGGACCCAGTGGAGCCATCTCAATACAAGCTCAAAATGCCCTTTCTAAGGCGAAGCCAAGTGGCCCAGGACCTCAATCAATACGCCTGGACGGCAAACAGCCTCGTCCCAAGAAGAAATCCTTCACTCGCGCACTCAAACGAGCCCAACTTCATGGACATACCTGGTACAGGGGCCAAACTTTCGCAGCGGCCATGCTTGGAGCCTCTGCCTCCTCCAACCGCTTCCAGGACGACCACTTCCACTCCATGTCTACTCCACCACCAGCGAAGATCCGGAACTGGATTCAGCTGGAGTATTAGCTCCCTGAGCACCTACAAGTTTGACATACTCCGGCAATGGACGCATTCTCAACACCTGGACATCTTGCTCACTCAGGACACACGGTGGGGCTTCAGTGGTGACTGGTCAGATCATCACTTTGCCTACATCCATAGCGGCTCCAACGGGAAATCCGGAGGCCTCATGGTCATTCCTGCGGAATGGCGCAGAGGCTGGGTTGTATTACTTCCGAAGCCAAACAAGCCTCCCACAGAGCCCAAAGCTTTGAGACCAATTGCACTTCAAACTCCGCTATCGAAAACGATCATGTCTCTTTTTGTGCAACATGCCAAGCACTTTGCTCTTCCTGGGTTGGTCTGGTATCCACAGTTTGCTTACCTTCCTGGCCGCGGTACATGGGAAGCAATTGCAAGAGTTACAGCTCATGTTCGTGAGGTTCAATCCATGCTGGCTCGCTGGAAATATAGTGCCAATGCACCAGCGGTCCCAAGGTGTATGGAGGCTGCCAACTTTTTCTCGATCTCACCGGGGCCTTCGATGCCATGCCTCGTGAACACCTTTGGGATGCTTTCAGACTACTTAAGTTTCCTGACAACATCATTTTGTTGCTTCTCACCTGGCACACCGAAACAGCATACATTGTACAATGGAAGGGTCTGGAAGCAGAACAAGCAATGTTCAGAGGCATCCGTCAAGGATGCCGAGGCGCGCCCTTTTTTTTGGGCATGTTTCATTGCCTTGATCCTTGAGCATGTGGCCGCAGAAACGGATGTTCACTGGATGAGGAACAACTGCACTTTTTACGCTGATGATGGTCAAGCATGCTTTGTGTTTCATAACATGGATGAACTTCACAAAGGACTCACCTTCTTTGGTCGACTCATCAACATTTTGGAACGCCTGGGTATGACGGTGAACAAGTCCAAATCAGCGGCAATCATCCAATGGCATGGTTCATCTCGAACACAAGCTACCAAGGCTTATGTGAAACAGTCTCAACGTGGGACACTGCTTCGGATTCCAAAAGAGCACACCGCTCAGTATGAGATTCCCTTGAGAGAGCAACAAGACTACCTTGGAATTTCTGTTGGATACAAGCAAATGCTGCGGGGAACAATGCAGAAGAGATTGAAAGCATGTATACTACCGACCGGCGACTTAGGACTTGCGTGGGCCAGTGAGATAGTAGTTGTGGCCCACTACTCCTAAGTCATTGAACACAAAAATTGCAGAGTTGCTGATTCAAGCCTCATGACTTGGGAATTGTCGCCAGCTGATGACATAAGAATCGGCCTGCTCATCCTGGTACTTACAACTCCTATCTCCGTCATTTATTAATCTTTTCCGGCAGCTTTCTGTTTTTTTAAAGCTATTCTTGTGTGACCATGTTTTGATGTGTTTCTCTACTTTAAAGTCAATGACATAGGAGTTGTGTACATTGCTCAAAAAATGCTTTAAGACCCATGACAAACGAGTTGTAAAACCCACCATACGTTTTACAACTCCTTTGTCACTAGTCGAGAGTATACACATCGACATCGACAGATGAAACCATGGTTTTGCAACTCATCGATTCACGTGGCTCAGAAGCTGTCCTTGTGGGAAACGTGTGTTCTACCCGTTGCCCTATATGGGCTGGACTCCACTGGTGTTGATCACGTCACACTTCCGCAGTTCTCGAAGACAACCCTTCCACAACTACGACAGGTGATGAGAGATCACCAATTCATCTCACACACAAAACATGCAGACTTTCTCACTGGATACAATCTCAGACGTCCAGTTGTTTTGCTACGGGACCGCATGGCAGCGCAATTATCCCGGCGCGAGGCCAGACTTGGAAAACTTGCATACGATGACGTTGTTCGTGACATTGATACAACAGGAATGCAGATCTCTCTTCATCTCACCAACATCTGGCTGCAGGACCTGGATGACTATGACCTCGCTCCATCTCTCCCCCTTGCGAAGCTAAATTAGACTGCTCGAGATGTGGTCTGACATTTCGTCGTCTTTACACGCTTCGTCGTCACGAGATGCACTCTCACGGAATAGTTCCAACAGCTGGTCCAACACTGGATATTGCTAGAGATTCGGTCAATGGCAAACCATTGTGGTGATTCGTTCATCTTTTGGCAGAACTTGACACATCACATCCAGAACTACGCATGTCCCAGCTTTGATTCATCTAAGGCACCGCCAGAGCAACTCCAGGCTCATCGACGTCAGCTCCTGGCCTATCATGATCAAGGAGAACTTCAACCACTTCGACAGGACAGGGAGCTCTGCTACTTCCTTTCTCAGAGATGCATACTATGTGGCTTCTGGTCTGCAAGACTTCAACAGATGTCTGCACACGTGGGGAGAGATCATCCGGAGGCCTACAACCTGATGAGTGAAGTCCTCCCCAACGTGACTCGAGCCAGAATGCCTTCTCCCTGTGAACTTTGTGTCAAAAAGCAACTTGGTCTGGCTCTAGCTGATCGACGACATAGAGCTGACTGCCCGGACAGCCCTCCACCGGTTCCACAACCAGTGCAACGGATGGATGCCCAATTTTCATGCGCCTCCTGCCCCAGGAAGTTTGTCACCATGGCAGGACTTCATCAACACCAAGCACTTGAGCATCCTCACACGACCACTGCCAGGACCTTCATGGCGGATCGGGACCAGATTCCCGGACGGAACCAATGCTCTCACTGTGACCAGGAGTTTCTCTGCCTTGCAGCTCTAAAGCACCACATTGACGGAGGACACTGTCAAGCACCTCTTCCTGATGATCCTCCTCTGCTATGGCATCATCCAGTCATTGTTACGGGAATTCACGGGGGAACCTTCGATCACATGACTGGCTACAAATCCCTCCTGAGGAGACTTGACCACATCTGTGGTCTATGTGGTCTACAATCCACGAGCTCTACCAATCTCTCATGCGGCATCTCAGCACCACACACGGGAGACAATGGGACTCGATCACCTCCTATGCTGAGTGGCTTCAGACCACTAAGTGCTCTTCGAAATGCTGGACGCACCTGCCTTCGTCCTCCAGCTCAACCACATGTGTACGGTCTTCTCGCAACTGGCTCTCTTTGTTCACTATGACCTGACCAAGTTCAGAGAAGCCTCAGCAGGAACAGTGCTCGCTCATGCTCTGAAGCTGGATCTTCAGGTTCTCAGCCCTACCTTTGGAGCTGAACTTTCCTGAGCTAGACTCCAAACTGACGAGGAGTCAGTTTGAGTCTCTGCTTCATGACCATGAACTCTGCGCAGCCCTCAGCTCCTGGTGCAGTCTCTGTGGTCGACAGGTTGATCGTAGAGATCTTTTGCAACATCTCTGGAACACACATGCAAAACATAGCAACAGAGGCAGCTTGTACTACAAGTACTTAACGTCCTTCCAACAGAGACAGCAAGCATGCTCCATTTGTGAATCACATCCCGCTGCTGCTCAGTGTCCACTGCTTTTGCAAATTGCGGACCTCCAGGGCAAAGGAAAAGGAAGAAAAGGACAGGCGAAGATGCAGAACGTCAAGGACGAATCCACACCAGATTCAAAAACAATCCTGCAAACACTGTCCAAACTGGTGCTACGACACGAAGACAGCCTACAGCGCCTGGCCATGGAGACGGACTTCTACGTTTTTTTTGAGCGCAGGTCCAGGATCCATTCTGAAGCTGATGATGTCAAAGACATCGGACTGGCGTCAGCCATTGAGGATCCTGATTCTGAAGTCAATGCTGGAGGAGCTCCACAACCGGACACTCAAGCTGCAATCAACAGACTTGTCGGATCCCTTGATCCAGACGCTGGTGACACTCACATTCCTCCAGTTGGGGGAGGATCAGAAGGAGCCCTACATCTTCCCACGGATGAAGTGGGACCATGCCAAGAACGAGATTCAAGCCTTGCCAGATGCACAAGTGTCACTTTCCTTGGCACTACACACCTTGCAGAGGATGTTGACACCTTCAGAACGAAGCCCTGATCAAGAGGTTCCATGCACTTCGACCAAACCATCAGATCCAGAAGGTTGTTTGTCGGGACGGACTCAGAGAACCCCTCAGTGGTCATTCCATGGAGAGTGACTCTGGCCCTGACCCACACCTACTCGAACGAATTGCGAGGGCTTTGGCACCAACTGGCCAACACGGGACTATGGCAACTCATTCTGGCCAGGATGAGACCAGCCACGATGCAAAGGACTCCTCTTGCTCAGCACCTTGGACGCATGCTCGAGACACTATGAGCGATGCTGAAGCCAAGCCTCCTCAGAAGACGCTGCAGAATCCATCCTCAGCTTGCTACATGAATGCTGTAGTGACAGGCCTGGTTTGGGGTGCATCTCAAGTCAATGGACTGTGAGGACCAATGGTCCAACTTTCCGGGGGTGTTCACATCTCTCCTGGTAGACTGGCCTGATCCCTTTCGCCAGCACGATGTTGTTGACTTCTCACATCACATCCTTCAGCTGTTGAATCCGATGTTTTTCAGTTGCTGCTGGGAATCCAGGCTTGAACAGGATGGAATTGTGAAGGTTGTTGACCAAAACGACCTTTACGTGAGCTCGCAGAGAGGTAGCAAAAAACAAGCCGGATCCTCTGATTTGCAAGCGCTTCTCACAAGCTGGAGCATGGCCAGCTTCGGCCTACACGCCCTGGTCAGTCCAGCAGACCTTAGTTGCATCCAGTTGGACCGCTTTGACTCATTTGGTCAGAAGTGCCGGACTCGTGTTCACTGGAGTTCTAAGGTGTGGATCCCTCACTTCATTGGCTTTAGGTTGGAACTGGACAACATACCGTATGAGGTCTGTGCTTGGGCATACCACTTAGGTCAGGACTCAATGTCTGGACACTATGTCTCAGCGCTCATGCATGATGGCATTTGGTGGGTCTACAACGACTCCGACGACCCCCAGCCCTTCCGGGTGCTCCCACCAGTGATCCTGGAGAACGTATGCATGCTGTGGCTGAAATGCACACCCCATGGAGGTGCGGAACTCGTATCACTTCCAGCAGATGAGGCTCCAACTCTATCCAGGGATGAACAGATTCAGAATGTGAAGACAGACCCCACAGCATGAGATCCCTGGTTTCAGGAATGGCTTCAAGCTCTGGATCTTCTCGACACCCAGATCCTGGTCAACAACCCAGAGCTCTGCCACAGATTGGTCAAGAAATGTCTCTTCTGCCAAACCTGGCCGGCGAACATGAATGCTCACTTGGCCTCTCACCACAGTGAGCTGTGGACCATGGCGGAGCCCCTGGAGGAGACCTGTGCAGAGCGCTTTCAAGCAGCTGCGCCGGCAACACGATGGTGCGCCTGTCAACCCTACCAGAGGTTGACAGCAGATGAGCGGGACAACCACTCCTGCGCCTGTCTTAGGCAGTTTGCCTGCCTGCATTTGCTCCTGAGGTCCACACAGCAGCATCGAGCTCAAACATCGACGCTCGCGCTGCTGCTCGGAACTCGTTTTGGTTGAAGGTCCTACGGGACTGGCGGACCGGCTGAAACCAGCCACGGGTCCACGCCATCGCCGCACGGTGAGCGTAGAGAAAGAAAAGAAGAAGAAGAAGAAGAAGATGATGATGATGATGATGATGATGTTTACATAAATGATTTATTATACACAACCATAATGTATATTGCACATGTGAGTGCTCTTCCCTTCTTTTGAAAAGGACATCGACCTGGAGCTGGCGGATGGTGAGTACATAATCTGTACCCATACTAATATCTGTTGTGTTAGCAGTAAGCAGCAACAAGCAGTCACTTGAGTGATCTTGCCCGGATCTTCATGGCCAAGCCACTCAGGAAGATCTTCATAAGCTTGGCAAATGATGATCTTCTGAATGGCAGAGCTCAACCTGAAGCTGGCGGATCTCAGCGGTCAACCAGGCTCAACACTATGCCGATCTTGGCAATCAATCCAGTTGCTGTGGGTGATACCGTGACTCCAAATCGGCATCGATATAACCTGGTCCAGCCAACCGGCTTTGTTCCAAGACTAATCGGGGTGTGCATGAAGTGCTCCCTCCTTGCCGACGGAATCCAGCAGCGATCACATAGAAACAGGGATCTGCCTATCAAAGATTGCAGTCCTTGCACTCACAAATTGCAAGAGTAGGTTCCACAGAAACTGAACCTGGTGGTAAATTTCGGACTTGAATGGAAAGACCTGCAGCTGCTGGACGGCTGCAACCCTTGATACTGTCAACATTGATTATAGAAGAAATAACTTTGATTCTCTCACTGATGCTCAACAATGACGTGACCACATGGCCTCATCGAAGTAAGCAAGCACCAGCCCCAAGAGGCGCATGATGGCCTTGTGGTCAATAGAATGTTTACCGAGTCAGTCACTGGTTGAACTCCAGACCTCCCGATACCAATGTTCCTCTTGCACCCCACGTCCCCGCCAGCCAAAGCGGAAGAAGAAAGTACCTCGGGAGGAGGCGGGAGTCTTGCATGAAGCCAGCCTTTTGTGAATGAAGTCTGGGCCCTCTGAAGCTCCGACCTCCAGCCTTCAGCATGCCAAGGCCCAGCATGATTTCCTTTCCAGATCTTAAAATCAAAAGATTCATGTCAATACATTGTCTGCATAAAATATTTGAAGGAGACCACCCCGGCTATAATGGCCATGAAACCGCTGCGTCCTGAAAGGTCAAAGCCCATATGCCCAGTTGCGCACATGCAGCGCCTACTCCAACAATTTCAGAATCTTGACCTGCACAGAAATCAGCATTAGACCTGTCTTCCTTTGAAGTTGTCTCGAGTTGGTCTTCATATGTCTTCATAAAAGCATTGACGCTCTGCAAAGTCTGACCATGTCAAAGTCTTTGGTATTCCAAAAACGTCACTTGCCTTGCTTGGCGCGAGATCCTTTGCTGCGCTTCTTCGCTTCACCTAGGCCAACACGCGAACGGAATTGTTCATTGGCTTCTGCCGCACGCTAAAACAATCAAAGGATGCTAAGCAGAGCTGAGTTCCTGCACGTTGGTTGGCAGGGCTCTTTCTGCTTAGGTCCTCACCAAGCACCCAGACGGGCCAACCCCAAGAAACATCATCAGCACCATATAGAGAGCATGAGAAATGCACTTCGGGGTGAGGGTGTTGCTCGTTGTTTCTCTTTAACTCAGGTCCTGTGCATCTGCCATGATCACATCCACGGGTTCCGGGCCTTGATCAGAAAACAAACACCCCGTTCCCCTCCTCAAACCTGATTCAGAGCCAGAAGCTTCCACAATCTGCTGGGTGTTGGCTTCTGCGACTGGGAGCAGAACATTCAAGATCTTTCGGCCTCTGTATTTCCATGAGATTGCAAACCTAAGCAAGTGAGGACTCTGTCTTCATGCCCGTTTCGCAAATTCAGGAAACATTTGCAAGAATGCCCAGTACGCGTGGTGAATCTGTTTCTTTGGGGATGCCCAAGAAGAAAGGTGCTGAACTTACTATCCCGGGAGGGGAGCTTGTGCCTGGATATGAAAGCGCAGGTCATGCAAGAGCATGGGAAAGCCGCCAGCCTAGGTGTGTTCAGATGAGAAAGTTGAAACTCATTACTCATTCACTGTCCTGGTATGGGAGCGTGATGCCATAGCCATGACCCATGGCGCCCAACTCCTAGTTGTGAAGGTTTCTGGCGCAGTTTAGATTGAAGTCTTGCATGTCTGTTTTCGCTAGGTCTTAACACAAGGATGTATAGTTTTGCGAACTGAACAACCACTCGAACCTTTTGGCACATGCGCAACAGTCTCTTGCTCTGCTTATGCTGGCAGTTCATGGCGAAGATGCAAAAGCCCAGGAGCGATTCACGGCGCCATGACTGTCTTTGAAAGCGACGGTTGATGGCCATCTGCCACATATCTGCTTTTCCTCCACGTCCCTGAAATGCAAAGTTTGCCTGGCTCTCATGCCAGATCCAATGATGAACCCAATTCAGCAAACAAAGTTCCAATCGTCGCTTCAAACGAACAAGCTGGTGTCATCGTCTTGAAGATAGTTGATGCTTCTGCGCCCCACATTGCCCCTTTGTCAACTGCTCGTCTTGAAGCCGCGAACCAGCAGGCGAAGTGGCTGATTGGTCTCCTTGGTCGCCTCATGTGGTGTCAAAGGGAAACTCCGTGAAGGTTTCCACGTCGAACCAGCGCTCCACCACCTCAGACGTGCTCCAGAGGTATGGCCCCGCGAGGAAACACGAGGCACTTCGCACGCACTTCGGTCTGTGTCCCGCACAAATCGCCAAGCTGCGACACTCTTCACCAAGCATTCCTGACATTGGGTGCGCTTATGGACGGACCAGCTTCCCTGAGCGCTCGACTGCTTGCAGGTATATACTTTCATTTGTTGGTCTGATGGATATGTGTATTATGATGTGTTCAATGCGAGATCAACGAGAGGTGCTCCTCGTTGAAGTGCTTCATTGCAGATGAGATGGCCTGGTGCCACAGGACACCCATTGCAGCTTCGGAGAAATCCTTTTGTGTGCAAAATATTCCCCAAAAAGCAAGCCTGTAAATCGATCTCAAGCAGCAGAGTCATGAGGTGTGGTATTGACCTAGTCATGTTCAAAAGCATCAGTTATTCATCATGTTGCTCTGCGACGATCACCACCCGCACCAATGAACCGCAGCGGCAGAATTTGGAGAATGTAAGAGCTGTACAGTAGTTGCCCAAGTGGGGAAGTCACATTTATAGCAATCGTCAGTTTTGGAAGCAAAGGAAAAAAGAAGTTGAATGCTTCAGGGAAAGGAGCAGGCCCAAAGTGGCCTCATGCTGAACCCATGTTCCGAAGATGTGACCCGAAACGTCAAGTATAGCCGGTTGTATTGCATCGTCAAAGTTCAACGTTAAAAAGTGAGGCTTCTGGCTGACTCTTAACGGGCTGTCCCTGCCCTCTCTAGTACAACAGCAGCTACTCAACAGCTGTTCATGGAAGGCGTATTTGTCCCAACTTTGCAGTGCTGTGTGATCAATCTGAGGTTTATGGCAGCACCGTAAAGCCTTGGCGTGCCACACCGCTCGAACGTCCGCCGTGGTCCAAAAGTGAAATGGCACGAAGCCATGTAGTTCTGAGTTGCTTTCTATTATATAGTTATATATAAGTACTGTGTTGCAACAGTTGAGACAACTTGACAACAGTTGAGAGTCGAGTGTGTACGTGCAGGTGGACGGCTTGCCTAAAGGGCGCGGTTCTTTGTTACCCAACAGCTTGGCCCAGGTTCTTGGGCCACCTTCCGCTGCCAGATGCACAGCATTGGGTAGAGGAGTTAGGCGTTGGTTGAGCAGAGTCGTCGCGCTCTTGAGGCCCGCCTTGGCGCGAAAGGTTGCAAACGCTCAGGCCAAGTTGATGGCAAGGTTTTACGCACAAGTTTGCGTCCAAGTTGAACCGAAACACACCCACGTTGCATCATGTTGGGCCCATATTGCGCCAAAATTTGGGGATCTCTATTTAGGCTGGACATGAGAGAAGAAGCAAAGCGAAGAATAGAAAGAAGTATATAGCAGAAAGAAGAAGAAAGAGCCGGAAGAAGAAGAAGAAGAAGAATCAGGACAATGTTGGCACCACGGTGGCCCCAAGTTGGGCTAAAGTGGGGACCAATTTGGGCCAAGTTGGGGCCCAAAACTGTGAAAAGACATCAAAAACTGCGGGCTTTTTGCACGTTTTTCCGCGGTTAACTTGGGACGAAGTTGGGCCAAATCACCTCCCCAAACAAGCCCATGTCCAGAAAATGCAGCCCCACGAAGTCCAATGTAGCCGACTTCATGCAACTGTGTCAAAACATGTTTTAAACAAACATATCAAAAACTGTGAGCTTTAAGCACGTTCGGGCAGTCGAGTTGAGACCAACTTGGGCCAGGCCAACTTGAGCCAAGCTGCTCCCCAAGATGAGCCCATGTTCCGAAAATGTTGCCCCGGAACTCCAAACCGTCCAACATATAATATAGCGCCCACTTTGGAAAAAACAAACACAAAAATCAGGCGACTGTTTGTCCGGCCTGTGACTTCCGAAAATGCTCCCCCCCACCCAACTGACTGGAGCATTGGGGCGCCCGACGTAAAGTACTGCACATGAGGGAACATGGCCCAGTCAGTATATTTTGACCAAAAAATCGATCGCCTCAGCGTTGCACACCAGCATCCGATCCGGTGAAATGGTGGAGTAACAGTCTCCAGAGCGCCGCGCTCCACATCCAGTGGGCCGAAGCCATCAAAGTATGGAGAGTAGGGCAACCGATCCTCTCAAACTCCAAGCTGAAACAGACTCTAACATATTTGTGGGGGTGAAATGATGAAGGGTCAACAAATGTGAAACATGTCTTTGTAGGACCAAGCCTCTTCGGGCAGGAGCTTCGATAGGATTCCTGTCAAAAAACGGCTTGGATCGTGGCGCAAAGGCAACAAAACTTGAACGGGTGCCTTCAACACCTCTAGCAAACCAATCTGTTAGAGGTTGTATAGCTTGCAGGGGAACCGCCCCTCAGCACCGCTTTGGCGACAACCGCCCGCTTCGCCTGGCTCTGGGAATATTCTGGGTTGTTCCAAATCCGGGCGCGTATGCTGACCTCACGTTCAAGAAAATATCCCAGACAAAGGAAAGTAAGAAAAGAAACCTCAAAGGAAACATGCCAAACAGCTGAGCCGTTTAGATCGAAAACCCTGAGGTCAAAGCCAAAGATTCCCCAATGCCACAAATCAAATGGCACCTGGACCATTTTTATTGGGGCACTTACAGCAGGTAGGTAGGTCTCCAAAAAATGCACCTGAGCTCCCTACAAACATGGGCATGTTCATGGAGTAGAACTCCCAGAAAAACATCAAAGATGTGTCATACGGAAAACCTACCTCAGTCATCATTCCAGAAATCATATAACGTGCAAAAAAGAAACAAGCACTAAGTATCATGCACCCCCACAAACTGAGCTACCAACAACGGCACGGAATTGAGATAAAGCTTGATATGACAAGGAGTTATTGTAAACCTTCCAGCAGTTGGCAAGGTGCAATATACTAATCAAACAAAATGAAACTTCTGCACTTCTGAACCAGTATTCCAGCCAGCCTCTTCTGTGGTATGTGGATTCCTTGATCGTGCCACAAAACAGGAAATACATGATTCAAGGACTCTAGATCACAACTGCTCTGTATAAATCACACTGACCAAAGGATTTGCAAAATGATCTTCCTCCACTATTTCCAGTATCAGGTTGAGTGGCCGGCTCAATTGATATAGCTTAAGGAAACAGGAAACAAGACACTACTGAAGTGGTGTCAGTGTATATAATTGTGCGCAATAGTCAGAAATCTCCAAAACCAGCAGCCTTCAGAAATAAAGGAACAAACTGGAAAGAATATACTTCTCCTGAGCAAAGAATCAGAAGATTGGTAAATTGCACGAAGCGCAAAGGATAGCCGGGATTGGTGTCCACGAAGCGGTTCAAGACACACTCCTGCCATCCACCGCTTGTCCCAGGTCGTGACACCAGCACCTCCATCCAAAATTGCAAAACCATCAGAAATTGTCATACAGAACTACCACAAGCGTCACAA